ACACTCTAACCAACTGAGCTACTCAGCCAGGGCCAGTTTATTGTTTACATGGCATCCAGAATGATCAAATTAAAATATAAATCAAGTCATGTGATTTTTCTATCTGAAACCCTATAAAGACTCCTCTTTCCATTCAGAGTAACAGCCAAAGGCCTTACAGTGGCCACCAAGGCACTCGTCACCTCTTTGACCCCCTTTCCCACAGTGCTCCCCCTGCTGATTCCGCTTTGGCTTCTTCGCTGTTCCCTGAATCCGCAGGCACACTCTTACCCTTGGGCCTTCACACCCAACACTCCTGCTCGTCTCCAGGCGTCTGCCAGCAGGCATCTCGGACTTGGCTCAAATCTCACCTTCTCAGCAAGGCCTATATGACTCTCCCCGCCCCCACCCCTTATTCCTTTCCAATTTATGGCTCATGTGAGAGTCCAGTGTAAATTGGCAGGGGAGCTCTGATCCATCCATTCGGGTACCCAGCTGCCTTTTATCTAAGGGCTTCTGCCTTTGCCAGCTTCTTTGGAGACACTTCCGTTTGGCCAATGTACAGTGGGAGTTGGAAGGGTTAAGATAGAGAAGATTGATAAGGCTTTCAACCGCCTTGATCCAGAAGTAACACAGATCACTTCTATACAAATTGCATTGGTGAAAATGAATCATATGGCTTCATCTGACTGCAAGGCAGGTGGGCTATATGCATATATTCTAGTTACATATCCAGGAAGACAAGGAAAACTTGGATATTGGTGAGTACTCCTGATCATTAAATATCTTTTTGCTCCCTTTTCCTAAAAATAAAACACTCAAATCCTTCTACCTCTCATAAGAAACCTGAAGTCCCACTCAGTCAGTCGGTGCATCTAACTACAAACCCAGCACTCTGGGTATAGCACAGTCTACCTCATCAACACCACGTGTAGCTCTTTATGATACAACCTATGAACTAAAAAAGCAAATTAGCTGCTCCCTCCCCCCCACAGTCCCAATGTGCAACGGTGGAGCAGGAGCAGGAGGCCCCTCCTTATCCTACATGGTGTCCACTAGGCACTGGAATGCCCTCCTAAGGGGTCACAGGACCTTCATGACCCACTTCCCGCCAGAGCAAGTTCTGGGTCTTTAGAAAGCGGTTTTTAGGCTCAAACCGTCAATGGCTTGTTCAGTCCAGGCTTGTGGCTGTTGCCAATATAATCCCCCCCAAACTTAGTACGCCTCTGATCTGTTTGTTTCCTAGCAGTTCATGTGTCAGTAATGGCGAAGTCCTTTCCTAGACATAGTTCTTGAGCCTGAGTTCCGTCTTCACCTCCAGGCCTCTTGCTTTCAACTTACAGAAGCCTCCCAGAGGCCACGTGAAACGGCAGGTCAGTGGTTTCCAACTTCAGCTGCACAGTAAGTAGAATTACGTGGGGGAACTTTTAAAAAACAGCCTGTGTCCAGGCTTCACGTACCCCAGGCCCATTAAATGGGAGGCTGTGTGGGTGGAACCGCGGCGATTCCGAGGAGCAGCCCAGAGCAGGGGCCTGCTCCTGTCATCCGGCCTTCGCCACAGGGCCGGGCCGCTTTTTCTGACCTGGGGAGTCTGCTAGGCCTTTGCTGCTCCAAGCCTTTCTCAGCTCTTGTGTCCTGCTCTCTGAGGTCTAGAACAGTCTGTTTTTTCCTTTTACTGTCCCAAGCATCAGAACTTTCCCTATTCCCTTTGAGTTTTTGCTGGAAAACTAGCAAATTCTTTCATAAGCTCCTCTCTTCCTTATAATACCTTACCAATCACAGTTAACACGTACGCTCACTCCGATCCTTTCCAACATTTGACCTAGAGCTCGGTCCGCATGAGGTGCGCCTTCCAAGTCATCACAGATAACAAATCTGCCAAACTGGTCACCATGGTTTTCTGTCTTTCCCAACTCCAATGCCAGTGTCCTCGTAAGTGTGCCACCTGACAGCTAAGCCAATGACACACATTTTAAGATTAGATTTTAAGGTTTTGTTCTAAGAGAACTCCACTCCTTGTACCAACTTTCACTCCTTGAAAACACTAAAACTTCAGTAGCTTACCACAATGTTTGCTCCCACCAAAGTCAAGCGGGTTGGTGAGATATTCTTCTCAGCCCCTTATTCAACAACCTGGTTTCCTTTCATTTTATGGCTTCACTCTCATCTAGGTCCTAATGAAATTCTCTCCAATGAGCTCACAGGGAGGATAGTAAAGGCCCCCAGCTATTAACTGCCATGCCCTGGGAAGGTACATATCACTCCGCTCACCTTCCATTGGTGAGAACTACTCACATGGTCCGGCCTGGATACAGGGGACCGAGAAACGCAGGCCAGATGTGGGCCCAGCAAGAACAGGAAGACAGGGATGCTGGCGAGCCCCAGCAGCCTCTTTCACAGCCCTTAACATTTAAACTGCACAAGGGCAGGAATCTTCGTTTGGTTTATTGATCGATGCATCCCTCATGCCTGTTACAGTGTCCGGCACAGAGCTGGTACTCAAAAAATGTCTTCTGCATGGATAACGAACGAACACGATGAAGCATGGGACGATACTGTATGGCATTTTTTATATAATAAAGACAAATGAATGGATTAATGACTAAAAGAATGATGAATTAGGCTTTATAGTTACTTAGACTGACCATTAAACAGAAACTTTTGGAAAAATCAAAATAAACTTCTAAGCACCAACACCACACGTAACAAATCCACAATGAAAATTCATATATGAGCTGGTTAAATGCGCACCAAATTTATCCACTGTGAACACAGAGAAACATTTATTCAAAATATTAGTACAAACACAGAGGACAATCTTCAAAGAAATTACTATTAAACTAATCACACATCTTTTTGTTAGGTGGAAACTTCTTTTCTCACATCAGCCTCAAAATTCACACTGAGCTTTCTCAAAGAGCAAAGGCATTGCACCTACAGAGCCCTAGCTTTGAAAACAAGTTACACACACACACACACACACACACACACACACACACCCTAGAAGACCTTCCCAGTGCATATTTATCATATAATACACACAGTCATCAAAATTCAGAACTGACACCTTTAGATAACAGATTCAAAATTATGCATGCTGATAATACTTGATTTTTCTTTAAATTTAAGCCATTATAGCAAAATGAATTAATAGAAAAAAATACAAAAGCTGAAATAAAAATCACAAATGAGGGTATGGCTCAGTTTACAGAGTGTTGTGAGGCTCAAACAGGAGTATGAGGATTCACCTGTGATTCCCTTACTTTCCTTGGTGTGTGTTACAGCTCAGTGGAAAGTCAACAGAGTGTATGAACCACTGCCTTGTAAACCATAAAGTAACATTTAAACGGTCACTTATATTTAAATAAATGTAAAAGTCCCATTTCCAAAAGAGTTATAAATTAGTTAAATGAGCAAGTTCAAACTAAGGTGAAAGGAAGACCCTCACTCTCCTCACCCAAACAGCGAGATCAAGGATTTTCACGAGCAACCTCCCAGGGAAGCCAAGCTTTACAAAAGATGACCGAGCAAGTACCCACCTCAGTGCATGGTTAGACCTTAAACAAAAACTGCGGGAAAAACACTAACAAATCAAAGCACAGAGTAGGATGCCTTACTTTAGGAGGGAAAAAAGTTACAATTGAAAATTTGTAAGTTCTCTCTATTCAAAGAAAAAGAGAAGAAACAATCTGGTTTTTTTCTTTGTTTAAAAAAAAAAAAACTCCTCAAACAAAAAGATATTGGAATCTACAACATAATAAGACCCAGTTTAGGATGTTCAATTGAACAAAATTTTATGGTTAATTGTAACTGAAAACCTATATAATAAAAAAAAAAAATCTCTAACATGTCGCCAGAGATGCAGAAAGTAAAGTGTTCACTTGGGTTTAAGTTTTTGCTTTAAAAAAAAAAACTAATCCCTAATATAAACCTATTTGTTCTTTCTTGGCTGAGTTTTAAGAAGGCTAACTAGGAAAAAAATTTTTTTTTTTTTACTTAATACTTGAAGTTCAGTACAATGGTCAGGCTTAACAATGTAAATTCTGAATTGTACGAATAACCCTATATACTTTTGTACTCTTTAGCAAACTAACTAACCAACAAATGAAAATTAGAGAAAAAGATTCTAAAATTCAGCTATAGCAACATTTTGAAAATAAAAGCACAACATTTTAAAAACTGGAAATAAATTGAAAGAAGGGAAGTACTGATACTAAACTTGTTACCTGACTTATAAACACCACACAAATCTCAGACATCAACCTGCACCTAAATATTGTTATTTAAAAGACTACTTTTGAAAGTAAGGACACCAATGTGGCAATGGTAAAATATAATATTTTCCCAATCTTAGAGAGGCAAAAATGTAACTTCTTTATTTCACGCAGCTTTCTTTGTAACATTTAAAGCCTATAAACAGCCTTGGCCAGGTAGTTCAGTTGGTTAGAGCATCATCCCATTATGCCAAGGTTGCAGGTTCATTTCCCGGTCAGGGCACATACAAGAGAGAATCAACCAATGAATGCATAAATAAGTGGAACAACAAATCCATGGCACTCTCTCTCCCTCCCTTTCTCTCTTTCTTTCTCCTCCTTCTCTCTCTAAAAATTGGGTTTAAAAAAATTTAAACTCTATAAACATTAAGAGAATTCGTTTGAAAAAAACTTTAAATCTTATGGAAAGATCATGGAGAGTAAGTGTTCAGAGGATATTGTGTACAATTTTAAAATCAGAAAAAAGTTGCTTTTGACTTTGGAGAGGGAACATTGTAACATTCCATTTTACTGAATAAAAGGGACCACTGCAAGTGAAATACTGTCTTCATCTCCTGGAACTTAAAAAATTCTACGTTTAACATCAAGTGATGGTGCGCAACGTACTTGCAACCCCAGTCCTGAATGTCGGTATTGAGATCTTCCTACACAACATCCTCATTTGCAGGCCTACCCGGAAGGAGGCCCAGGTGCTGGTACTGAGGAAACAGAACAGTTGGGGCACAGACTGAAACACAGAGCGGTTACCCAGGAGGAATGCTCCTTCATCTGGTGTTGGTTGCTGTGCGAACCACTGGCATGGCCACGCCAAAAGCAATTTTGGCAGAGCTGGTAGTTGTGGCACTGCTGGCACCGGTACCGGAAGCCCATCATGCTCTCGCAGCGGCAGTAGGAGCACTCCACCGGGTGGAAGACTTGCGGGAGCCGGCGGAGACGGGGCGGGCGGGGCGGCGGGGAAGAAACAGGGTAAGAGGGGGAGAAAATCATTTTCACTTGGAGAATAAAGTCAACACAGTGGAAGCCAAGTCTAATATCAAAAAAGCAAAGGCGAAAGCAAAATTAGAACTGAAGACTCCAAGTTGTCTCCTAGTTAGTTCGTTTAACCAGTCATTTATTAGAATAAAAAAGAAAGACAATAAGAAAAAATTTTCAACCATCTCAGAAAATAGCCAATTTCTTTCTTATTTTTTTCCCTCCTGAAAGTTTATTTAAAAGCCACTGGACTAGATTTCCGAAGGGAGCTGGTCTGCCCCCAGTTTAGTGCTGCTGCTTCCTCCTGGGCTCTCACCACCCATCCCTGCTTTCCCCACTTGCGAAAATAGTGACTGTTTCCACAACACCTTTAACCCTCTATGGCTCCCAGTGGCCAGTGCCCACGCCAGAGCTCTGAGCTGCCTGCTACTGCCTCTCTCCCACAGCCCCTCCAGCCCAGCTAACCAATGTCTCTAGCCCTTCTCCCTCCGCCCCCCGGGTAAGAGCACAGGGCTCGCAGGGTGAGGGGAGGCGGAGGACTAAGACAGCAGGGAGGGGAGGCCTGCGGCACAGGGCTGCCTGCACAGGGCACAGGGCTGCCTGCACGGCCTAGGACGTGCCGCCAGAGTCTGCTGCCCTCCTCTCCTACCCCTGCTGCCAACCTCTTTCTTTAAAATGAAACTCATGTTTCTCAAAATTTAGATGAATGTGCAAATAAGAAGGAAAGAAGAGCCTTTACTCCAAAATTTCTTTTCCAAACCAACTGCTTTTTTTAAGATCTACTACGTATCTACGGGAGTGTAAGCATATTTGTTTCCTTCACTAAGGTAAAAGCCGTGAGCACCAGGATGAGGTCCCATGCGTTGCTGTTACCTGCGCACAGTATTTTACACAGTACCCTGGAATGAAAACCTGCAAATGTTTGCTGAATTAAATATGACCACACACCTGGGCACCAAAGGCAACTGGTAAAAACTAAGACAAGACATATTAAAATGGCAGTTTTGGTCAAGAGCTTGAAGTAGCCGCGTAAAAATAAAGTACTCTAGACCAAAAAAGGGACAGTAATTTGGAGTGACCTGCGGCTCTTTTCTCCACCCCACGGAGCGTCTTACCTTATGAAAAACTGGCAGGTGGCAGTAAGGGTTCATAAAGATTATTGGGATTCTCTCAGAGCCTGAAAGTCTAGTTCACTGAGTGGAAGCCTAGTTCATAGTTGTGCATTATAGACTGTTAATTATACTTTTAAGTGTTGGTAGCATAATTGTTCCCTCTGGCAATTCAATTCTGAACAGAAGAAATGAAAATCAACAAGAAATACAGATATATGAGGCGGGACCCCCCCCCCCCCAAAAAAAAAAAAAAAAACAGAATTATCTTCTGGAAGGCAGGCCTCTTGTAGTACAGGGTTCCCCTGCTAGGGAGTGTTCTAGGAACCCATCTGTATCAGTGCAAAAGCCAGTGTTGTGAGAGGCTGTGTTCAGCCTGCGTGAATTCTTTTTCAAGACTTTTCCAATACATTTGCCCATTTCACGATGGGTGATTTACAAGTGCACCAGCCCACACGGTGCTGAGTGTCCAACAGTTTTTCACCCAGAACTGCATGACCCCCATGCTCCACCCTCCCTATTCACCCAATCTCGCCCTGAGAGACTTTTTTGTTTGTTTGTTTCCCTAGATGAAAAAATCCTCAAAGGGAAAGGTTTTGTTGATATGGAAGAGGTGAAACAAAGACACTGCAGGAGCACTGAAAGGCATCAAAATCGATGTGTTCAAAAACTGTTTTGAGCAGTGAAAGAACATTTCAATAGGTGTGTTGAATCAAATACAGGGTAATACGAAGGTGACTGAAATTCAAACATGTGAGAATACACAATTTTTTATAAATAAAATCCATTTTTGGGGGGTCTACCCTCATAGTATTCAAATTGTCATCTCGACGACTCTAACACTTAAAGACAAAAAGTAAAATAGAAATGAGAAATCCAAAGGACATACTCTCTTTAAGGAATTCAAACTTTTATCATCAAAAAATTTCTAAGGAATCATAAAAATGCTAAGAGTCTGTGTTCCAAATTAAAACTATACAACTTAGCAGGGTTCTGCCAAACAATACACTCCTAAATCAATCTGAATCAATGCATACAACGTAAGTGCAGCCAACATGTGTAATCCCATATAATAATTTGGGGTTAATTTAAATGGCATATGTACATTAATACTAAATTATCAAACACGTTCTGATAATTTTGGTTGAACATGTATGCCTATGGGACTTCCCTCTCTTATAAACTGGCAGGAGCCAGCCAGCACTTCCGTTGGTCAGCAGAATGGGAGACCAGGCAGAAAATGCGGAGAACCAGGTGAGGAAAGAGGCAACAAGCGTGCTGGTCAACTATAAACTAGATCAGGTTTTGGTATTCTTTTTGGAAGAATGCATCATGCAGTAATTAACTTTTGATATACTATCTACTTGAGTTACTAAACCAGTACAAAAAAATGCAACTTTTGCTAAAGCAAATAAATGTCCTTGTAAGTAGTAACTTCGATACAATCCAAGTGATAAATTTCCTAAGGGCCCAAAGAACAATTAAAACAAAAAACCTAAAAACACCATAATGTAATTTGTTTCCCATCATAAAAACTGAGATATGTACCCCCGGCTGGTGTGGCTCAGTGGATTGAGCACCGGACTGTGAAGCAAAGGGTTGCTGGTTCGATTCCCAGTCAGGGCACATGCCTGGATTGCAGGTCAGGCCCCCTATAGGGGGTGTAGGAGAGGCAACCACACATAGATGTTTCTCTCCCTCTTTCTCCCTCCCTACCCCTCTCTCTTAAAATAAATAAATATTTTTAAAAATATGTAGGTAAATGTTAGTGTGGTAGGCAACATTTTATTTTCTAGGTATTCTAATAAGTTAATAATATTTCTCTGTCTCTAAGAAAAATATCAATAACCACATAAGAATGTAATCAATAAGTAATACAAATTCATAATAAAATGTTTGAATGAACAATAATACATCAAGAAAAATGAGTTTCTTTCTACTTGGTATAGCAGATACAAAATGATCTTATGAAAGTAAGTTGGCTATAAAACTACCAAAACATTTAAGGCTTTAAAAGTACTGCCTCCAAAAGAACCAATAATACTGTAATAATTTAACAGTATAAATCTCTATCCAAAAATCCTATTAAAAATTTTAGTTGTTTTACTATAGTCAAGAGATAATGAACCTTTAGGAAAATAATCCTGAATCTAAGGTTTTTGTGCACTAAAGTCACAGTTGGAAAAAAAACAAGTATGGATAAGAGGGGGAGAAAATAAAAAAGTATGAAAGTGTGCTTCATTCTTACAAAGGGAAAAAAGAGGGCTGATTGTTAGTGCCTTTCAGCTCTTACTGTTCTCTCATGTGAAATGAGGAGAGACGGGCAAGAGCCTTGAGAGAAGGCAGGCTACAGAGAAAAAGCCTAGCCCTCCCTTTAGTAAACTTAAACAACATAAGCAAGGAGATGAAGTGACAGCAATAGCAGAAAAAAGCTAGTTACTAAGAGATAAGTGCCATTTCAAATTCCAAGTGAAACAAAGATTTAATCCAAATTACTGCAAGGGTACTGGAGTAATTCAAGGTAAAATAGTAAACACTGAAGATGTATGAAATTCTTTCTTTGCCATTTTCCTTCAAATGATTCAAAAATAATTATAGTTCCAGTGGTTGATAATGAATATATCCATTTTTTTAGATCTACTATTTGTATAAGTCAAAGGAAAAAAGGAGCCATGACTAAATCAGGTAGCCTCAAGCCAAAGACAACCACCTGGAACCTCAGGCGCAAAAGCCTAGAGTTTGAGCCACAAAATTTTATGGCCTGATATTACTACTTCTGGGTATCATGTCCAAGTAGTAAGACCCCCACCGCTTCTTTTTTTGAGAAATATTCTTCCTTTGAAAGCTAAAGTTGCAAATTCAAATGATAAAGTACCAGCAAATGACAATAATAATTTCAATCATTACAGCTGAAGACATTGCAAATACTCTCGGTTCATGTACTTCCTACAGCATAAGGAACTGAAGGATGGGAGTTCCGCTTACCATTCTCAACATGAGCAAGCCTGTGCAGGAGAGGCAGCCAGACAAGGCACTGCGGAGGAGGATCGGCCATCATGGTGTCTAAGAACGTATTTAGCATTATCTTTTTCTGTGAGGAGAAGAAAAATGAACATGCTTCGTATTTTTCAAGTACCTCTGAACTCCAAGATTAAGTTTACTTAGGACTCTCCCGACCAAGTTGTAATACATTACAGGTGGAATTTTAAAATAAAGTATTTTACATTACTATAGACACTGCTATACACTATACTACATACTACTCCTATATTCAAATGCATTTCCACATACTTTATTTTATCTGAGTCTTAAAACAACTGCATAAGGCAAATAGGTTAGGCATTACTATCTTCACTTTACAGATGAGAAAAATAAAAAAACAACAACAAAGCATTTAAGTGACTTGTAAAGGTCCTGCCCAAATCAGGCACAGAGCAGGACTAGAACTCAGACATCCTTCAAATTCCCATTCCTGTTATGCAATGGAGGGAGGGAGGACACCCATCCCACGCCTGGTTACACAACACCAGTGAGAACAGGAAACCATGGCTGTCTGGTTGTCTCAATTTCCAGCACTCACAACAGTGCTGGGCACTTGACAGACATTTAGTAAGTAAGCGCCAAATAAACAACATGAAGGGCTAACACTCTTGGACACCATTGAACAACCTTCTCATTTCAAGAAGGGAAAACTCCGAGTACTGACGTTATTTGACCAAGTCACAGAGATAGTTAGGAGAAGGATGAGACTGGAACCTAAATATCCAAAAGCCCATCACGGCACTCCCTCCATTACACTGTCTCCCTAGCGGGACTGCATTTTTCTGTCCTATCGCTATTTCTCTTTTTTAAACAAATGCACAGTAAGCTTCCGCTGTATAGGAAACACTGATAAAATTATGTCCCATGCGGGTATACACTTCAGAAAACCATCTAGAAAAAAAAATGGTCATGTGCTGTAGATAGAACACATTCTCAACAATATTTCAAATATGAATGTTCTTTTTATTTTCTCTAAACCACAAAGCACCTTTCTAGCTCCAAAATGGAAGGAACAAGGGGGAAAAGGCAGTGCCATACAACTTGACGTTAGAGTTCTGTCCTGCAACCTGGGCACCTAGGCCCCCACTTCAAACTTCATTCCAAAGGGAGAGCAAAGACCAAAGGGCCAACGCGGGAGAGGAAGGGCGGCAGGGCCCGGCACCAGGCCCCGTCCAAGCCCCGGCCCGGCACGCAGAGGCCGGGCCGGGGAGACACTGCGCAGGAGGGCAGGGTGAGGCCACAGGCACCCAGAACGCCATCCCCTCCTCTCCTGAGGGGTGCGTTCTCAGTCCCTCCACTCTATTTAAAGTGAAAAACGGCATAAAAATTACAGTGCTTCCTCATAAAACTTTAAAATATTTTACTTTAGAAAAAAAGGGTAGAAAAGATCAAATGGGTGAGAGCTGACAAATATTTTACCAGTCCATTACAAAATAACTTTGACTTTTTCCACTACCACATTCGACACGACTTGGAAGCCAGGGCTGCAGGCAGCGTGGCTTTTTGCAGGTGGCTGGAGCCTCCCCCGACCCACCGCGGCACCGTCCAACGCTGGTCCCAGCGCACACACCTGGGGCCACCCACGCCTAAGGCCGGGCGCCTTTTTGGCAACCGTGAGAATCTTGATTCCATTATATGTAAATTGGAAGTTATCCTTATTGAAAATAAGCTTTAAAAGAAGAAACTGGTAAATAGTGAAGGGGGGGGGGGCGAAGGTAAAGTAGATGGCAGAGCAAGAAAGCAGCTTTTGCAGTAAAAACCTGGAAAAGCTGAACTAATGTGCGGGCAGGTCTCAGGTCCAGGACAGAGAGGGCAGGCCAGCCCTGACAGGGGGCAGGGAGAGACACAGCCAGAGGGTGAGAGCTGTGCGAAGCCACCACCCGAAGGCCCTCTCTACTCAGCCGTGCATTGATGGTGAGGTCTGAGAAACGGGCACTCCAATAAGCTAAAGATTTCCCAGCTGCTTCCAGTCTCAGGCATGCAAGTCACTCATGTTCCCGAGGTCGTAGTGGAACCTGGGAGGAATGAGTGAACGACATTAAAAACAAAACCAGAAAATCACTGAACTTTGGAATGCACGTCCAGACATGGAAAACGCCTCTTATTACAGGTATGTAAATAACTGCTACAAACCAAAATAGAATTAAAAGTGTCTACTTCAAATTACTGACAAAAAAGATGCTAGGAAGTTTTTTAAGCTATTAAGAGGTGGTAAATAAAGTGTATCACATCATTTATTATATATTTAATGTTTATAGTATTATTTCTATATCTTGTTATATTTGTTAAAAATTAATTTTTACAAATCCACTTATAACCCTAGTGCTTTCTCTAAAAAAAAGTTCTGGCTCACCCTGGCTGGTGTTGCTCAGTTGATTGAAGCATCGTCCTTGTAAACTGAAGGGTCATGGGTTCGATTCCTGGTCAGGGAACGTGCCCAGGTTGCAGGTTTGGTTTATGTGGGGGCGTGCGCAGGGGGCAACCAATTGATGCTTCTCTTACATCACCGCATTTCTCCCTCTCCCCCCACCTCCCCGCCTCAAATCAATAAACATGTCCTTGGGTAAGGATGTAAAAAAACGTTTGGGTTCGCCAGTCATGGAGTTTAATTTTTTTTAATGTTCAAGACAAAAAGGAACAATTACATTTGCTGTCTCAGAAGACCCTCATAAATACGTTCAGGGTCAGTTTCCAAAAGCTGTCCTGAGGTCACACTGTCATGTGAAGTCCCCTGAGACCGTGAGGAATGAAACCAGAACCGTGCCGAAACCTGTCTTCCATTAACCATGTGATCTCGGGGGGGGGGGGCGGGGGAGGGGAGACTCACTTAACATTCCCATTTCAGCTTTCTCATCTCTTAAGGGCAGTGATTCTCAAAGCATGGTCAGGGGTTCCCTGCAAGGCCCCTAAAACATTCTTAGAAAATCCACGAAGCCAAGACTGTTTTCATAATAATACAAAGACATTACTGCTTGTTTCAATCTCATTCTCTCCTGAGCATACAGTGGGGTGTTCCAGAGGCAAAGAGGCACATTCACAATTATGTCAAAAAGCTATGAAAATACTCCTCCTTCTTCCAAATACATAATTGCGTGAGGCCAGATTTTCTTTCTATACTTTAACCAAAACACATCACAACAGACAGAATGGATAAGCAAATATGAGATACCAGCTGTCTTCAACTAAGCAAATATGAGATTTGCAAAAATATAAAACAATGGCATTCTCATTAAATTTTTTGGTTTAGGATAGTTATTTGTTTATTAAAATATATTACTTAACATGCAATAGGTTTATCATTGTTATTTTAATGACTTAAAAATACTTTTTATCAATTTTAATTTATCATATGGAAATACTGACAGATATGACCCACACAAACAAAAGCTCTCTGGGATCAATATTTTTTATTGTAAGGAGGTCCTGAGATCGCAAAGGTTGAGAACTTTTGGGAGAGAATTCCCACTCGGAAACTGTGTGACTCACGAAGTAACCATGTGCAAGGCTGGCCCTTTTTTCTCCCTTGTTGTTTTATTTTATTTTTGCTCTTGAACGCATTCTTTGCATTTCTCCTTATTTTATATAGCACAAATATTTATAACCAAAACTATAATATAATTGCAAATTTGCCCCCCACAATTTGCATTTTTCTGTCTCCCTCCAAATATATGTTTCCATATAATTATGTGCATAGTGTAGTAAAAGCATATGTTTTTTCATGTAACATTTTATTAAATATTTTGTTTTGCTACAAGATCTTCATTTCTAATCATTTTAACAGCTGATCCACTCAGCACACACACTGTGATCTGTTCTACCTTCCTCAATAAAACACCACAGCTGTTCTATCTTGGTGTGCACTCCCATAATTTGTCTTGAAAAGGCATGTTTCTGTTTGTCACCTAACTCCTGCCCTCTGTCATTCTAATCCTCAATATTGACAATTTATTGCTCTAAATGCCATTCTTACTTCCTTCCCTCCACCCTTGGCTACATCATCTTTCTTGTTTCTAAAAGGGATTGAAACTATCTCTTAAAAATGAGAAACCCAGAATTACATGAGAAAACAAGCAAAATAATTCAGCAGTAGGTCATCACAGATGCGATTCCCAATCTCCTCATTTCCATTAAAAACTCTTATTTCCTTATGGGCAACAGGTAAATATTTCTTGTCTACTTTCCTTTTACTTGGTAATGAGTTATAAGTATGACATTTAGTTAATATATTTTTTAAAACTTTTAGATTAAAATGGTTTCACACAAACTTTTGTGTAGAGTTATAAAAATATTTTACCTGACAAAGGCAAACATACTGGTTATTAGAAAAACTGGTCATAGGAGTAGTGCAATGGATCAGCCTTTTGGTTATTATTAGACACTGAATTCCTCCATATCACAGTTTTATTTTGGACTTTGAAAATTAGAGTACGTTGTAATGACACAATATAATGTTGCTGCGCTTTTTATCAGAGGTATTTTTATTTATTACAGCCAAGAGAAAAACTGGAAAAACTTCATTTTCCTCACTACAAAGATTGTTTCAGTTGAGAAAATCTTGGAATAATATCAAGGACAACCAGGCTGCAAGGACCTCCGTGAGCCTCAAGCTCTCTTTCAGAATTCAAGCCAAAGGCCCTTTCTCCTATTTGATTTAAAATCATTACTTAATTAATCCAACAAATACCTAGTAAGCATGGATCATTTTCCAGACACTGTTGTCAAGGGGAGATAAAGTTGCAGGAGACTAAGGTGCGTCCCTCCAGGGCCTAAGTGAGCTCGCTGTAACATGCCACGGGGCTGCAGAAGAGGGACAATTAATCCTGCATTGAAACATTCAGAGCATCAAAGAAGAGGGGATATTTTAGCTGGGATTTGACATGGGAGCCATTGTTGGAGGAGAGGGGTCAGGGTTATTGGCGTTTCAGTGAGAGCTAATAGAATAAACAAAGACAAGAACTGTGCTACTTTTGCTCACTCAAAATGCACATTACTCAACACAAGAGAAATGTAAATCAAAACTATATTGAGATAACATTCTCATCTTATCAGATTGGCAGACATTCATAAATGTAGAACATATGCTGTTGGCAAGAATGGGGAGAAATAGATGCCCTTACACATTGCTGGTGGGAACGTAAAATGGTACATCACAGCGCCTGCAGCACTTGGGCAGCAGCTGGGCACGCGGGTGGAGGGGCCTGAGGAGCAGCAGGGAGCGGAGGCAAAAGGCCAGGCTGGGCTGGACTGATAGGCACTATGGTGCTGCAACAAAAACCTCATCCACTAGGAAACAGTAGGAATTTTTGTTTTAAAGCAAAATCGAGACATCAACAGAGCTGTAGTTTAAAATGATGACACAAATTTGCTTATGATTAAAAGGAATAATAAAACAAAAGCAGCATCCGAGGGAGGCCATTAGGCCACTAAGTACAGTGACTAGGAGACTTGTTGGCGAAGAGAAGGACCTGGGCCCGCAGTCCCCAGCACACCATGCCCAGCAGCTCCCAGCCCTGTCACAGGCCAGGGAACGTGACAGAGAACACATTAGGACCTGTTTCCAGCTCAGGAGTAGTAACTGAGAGTGGATGGGCGGGAGGACCTTTCCCGCAGCATGTACACAGTTAGCACCTCTACCTAACAAAAGTCTTTTTTAAAAAAGAAAACAATTGCCCTGGCCCCTGTGCTCGGAGAGTGTGTCAGCCTGCAAACCAAAAGATCGCCAGTTCGATTCCCGGTCAGGGCACATGCCTGGGTTGTGGGCCAGGTCCCCAGTTAGAGGCTCACGAGAGGCAACTGATTTTCTCTACCTCTTTTTCTCCCTCCCTTCCCCTCTCTAAAAATACATAAATAAAATCTTTTTTAAAAATGTAGGAAAACAAACCATATAGGAAAAGTCCATTTTCAAAAGGAAACCCAAAACTCATTGAATTTAACTCTTGTTTCATGAAACTTTGTCCCAAGTTTCATGTTTTTTGGTCATTCTTTCAGTAGTTTCTACTATTTGGAGACTTTTTTGTCATCTTTCAGACCAAGAAAAATTCAACTTTCCTGTGCTTCTTTGACTTTTCCAAATTTGACATGTATAAAACCAGAGACTAAGTTTTTTATAGGAATCTGAAGCAAGTGAAAAGCAACAATTAGGTTGTGAGTTCAAAGGCTTGACAATTGTGGCATAAGGTAATTCATAGACTCCTAGGCAGCATTCTTAGGTTAACAATTAGAACTGTTAAAATATTCTTCAACATTTTAAACTGTTATTCCAGTATTAGATTCTCATTATAATACTCACATTACAAGTAAATCAAAGAATACTTTAGCTAGTACTCCACATAACTATCACCCATTGGCCAAATGTTCTTCAACAATGCTTCTTTGTATAAATTCTCTTCCTCATCCTGACACTACTTTACTTAATCGCAGAGTTCCCGAACATGATCAGTTTCCAGCCTGACCCACAGGAAGCATCCATGTAAAGAGCTACATGTACATCAGATACAAGATCACCCCCACAGTAGTGTTGTGGTGCCTCATCATCCTCATCCTCAGCTATAGCTCTGGGGGGCATTTCAATGCCAGCAGGACACTCAATACCAGGAAATGTTTAGACAGCCCACGTCATTTGAAGATGCATATTCAGAGGGAAAATGCAACCTGTGCTTTACTAGGATAAACTGAAGCACGGAGATATTTTTAACATGCTAAAAGCTGATACTGCTATTTATGCTGAGAGAAAAAAATAAATAATGTATAGAGGCTAATTTTCACAAAAAAAAATCGGCCAGCATGTGTACAAATTTGGGAAGAACATCTCAGAAGTTACTAAAAATAGCTCTCCAGTATTGACAGGTTCCACCTTCAGTGCTAAAGTTGAGATTCTCTAAACAAATTATAGAATATTGTTTGAAAGTGTGAATTCAGATAAATATGAACTTTTACTTTAAATGTAAAAAGTGGTGTATCTGTGTTTTTGGTTCTTTTGTGAATCAAAGTATCACAGATCAGGAGGGTTTGTTCCTTTTATATTTTAACTTTTTATATTTAAATAATTTCAGACTTACAGAAAGGGTGTTAAAAGATTATTTTAAAAATTCCATTTACCATTAACCCAGGTTCCTCAAATGCTAGCAAGGCAGTACATGTGCCCCTTTACCGTTAAATACCTCATATTGTATTTCTCAAAAATGAGGAAAGTCTCCTGATACAAATATCAAAATCAGGAAATTAGCATTCAGTGACATCATGCCATTACCTAGTCTACAAGCTTTCCTCAGATTTTTCCAGGTGTCCCTGTAGTATCTTTTATAACAAGAGAAAATCCTGGGTCATGGACTGCGATTAGTTTTCCTACCTCCTTGGCCCCCTGGGCTCTGGAACAGGTCCTTGATCTTCTTGGGTCATTCATGACATTGACATTTTAAAAACATACAGGCCAGTAATGTTACGGAAATCCCTGCCCTTGGGAAGAGGAGGCTCCGGTCTGCTTCCCGGACAGGAGCACCACAGTGACAGCAGGTCCTTCCTCAGTGAATCCTGCTGGGGGGGCAGCAACGTCAGCCTGTCCCTCTGACTGGTGACAAGCATTTCATCACTTGGTTAAAGTGGTATCTGACAGGTTTCTCCATGGTAGAGTTACAATGTTTCCTTTGTAATCAATAAATATTTTATGGGGAGATACTTTCAGACTATGTCAATAGACTCTTCCCATTAATCTTTCCCCCATTAATTAACATGGATTTTTTCCTTAATGCCCTGCTTTCCACAACTTTCCAAGTATGAAGTTCCTTTTCCCTCACCTCTACCTGAAAAAACCGGATGCTCCAGCCAGCATCCACTCTGCTCCGAGTCCTTGGAGGCGCAGTTAATCTCTTGGGGATAGACTCATATCAACCTCTAGGGAAGAACCGTGAAAGGACACTCACAAATAAAGCGGAAACCAAACCCTTCTTTCAGGTGAAAATGGCAGTGTCGCTCGCGGGACTCTGAGCCGGAGCAGCGCGCTGCACAGCCCTGCTCGTCTGCAGTATTCAGGGAACGATGGTCTAGAACTGTACGGAGTTTTATATCAAAATTCCGGTATTTCATGGTTTAAAGAGCTCATTAGAAAGAGTAATGGATGTTCAGTGGCTACAACATAAACGCTTAATCGTGAACATTTTTCTTTCAATTTTTAGTACTTTAAAATACTTCAAATGTTATTTTTTCCAGAAAACACTCCCCTCCCCAACCCTCAAAAAAGTTCTCAGGTGAATTTTTTATCCCCACTTTTTTCAGGCTCCTGACTCCCCTGACTTTAAGCTCTGTTTCCTCTCCCGCTCAGGACCTGTACCCCTAAACCGAAGCAACCTGGGGCGGTCTGACAAGAGGGCAGGGGTAAATGAGCAGTCTTCTAGTCCTTGGGCTGCAACACTGGCCTTACCTGCTGTGGAAAACAGGTGCGGACGGAGTGCTCTGTGTAACCAAAAGACGGCCCTTCAAAGACGGCTGTGGGGAGCTTCAGAACTTCCTTCAGAAACTGGTCAAACTTGCTAAATATGAGTAAGCCATTGGAATCTGACATCTGGGAGAAAACATCTATGAGAACAAAACCAAAGAAAGTCAAACTATAAAGAAATATCAACTTTGTATAAGAGGCTCTAAGTCATTGGTATACCAGCCAAAAAGTTTCATTAGAAAGTATCATAAAGTTATTATGATTTTTAGGTAACATGGATTCTCGTTCTTTATTAACACTGTGTAAGGTTACTTTGCTGATGAGGCCCCTCTCTCCCATCCACTTAAAATTCAGCCTAAACATCAAATCTAATTACCACTCATGTCCATCTACTGCCTACTCGTTCTGAGTACACAGTACTGATTAATATAGTATTATTTACTTATTTATACCTCACGTTGACCCAAGAAGAGTTTATAACAGCATATCTTTATCTCTTGACATTTATATATGTGTTTATATAAGACATATATGCATGTCTGAGTGTGTAAATATATTAGCATATTAGTGATGAGGTATGAAAGAAACTGTAATGTATTTGTATATTCATATACCAATGATGCAATATATTTCCATGACAGAATAAACTGGAAGGAAGTACACAGCATGTTAAAAATATTCCATCTAGTGAGTTCCAAAGTAGAATAAAAAGAACTCATATAAACTTTTCTATCGCAAGATGCTTTTCTACTGGAGAGTCCTAGTTTTTACATAAACTTGGACCCATGCAGATGTGAAAGAAGTCTCCAGTAATACTGCTATTTCTTTATCTTTATGGAGAAAGTTTCCTGTCTCCAGTTACTTCTTTCTTTCTTCTCATCCACAGTTGGGAGAGAAAAAGAAAAACAACTAGGAGCTCAAAAAGTACTTGACAAAGAAATACACCCTAAGCTTTTTCCAAACTATTGAGCTTCCTTACAAATTGGTAAGTTAAATATGCACATAAAAAAAGACTATTTCCTGAGGCCCCTCTAAACATAGCATTTTGAAAAGTCATATTCTATATATTCACAATGAACAAGTATATTATATGTAATAGATTTAAGTAATCTACATATACACATTACTCTTTAGATCCAATTTGGGGAATTTGTCCCAAAACATTAGGTGTAGGGGGAAAAAACATTCAAAATACATTAATCAAAGAAAGACAAAATGTTAAATATTGCCCTGGCTGGTGTGGCTCAGTGGACTGAGCGCCGGCCTGCGAACCAAAGGGCTGCCGGCTCCATTCCCAGCCAGGGCACGTGCCTGCGCTGCGGGCCAGGTCCCCAGGAGGGGATGCTTGAGAGGAAACCACACATTGATGTTTCTCTCCCTCTCATTCTCCCTCCCTTCCCCTCTCTGAAAATAAATAAATAAATAAAATTTTTTAATGTTAAATATTCAATTCCACAAGCTAACTTTTAGGGCATTAGAAAACAGGAAATTAGCAGAAGAATGACCATCTTTAGTATATACTCTCATGTCAGCTGCTAGTTTGTAGTTAAAGTATTAAATGACCATATAGGTAGGAAATAGGCAACGAAAGGCTAAAAGAAGTACAGTCTTAGTGGAAAGTAAAATCAATTAATTAACAAATACTGTTCATCCCAAATTCTTACTATGTGGTCCAAGTGTCAAGCACTCTGCTAGGTGTTTCGAAACACAACAAACCAGTATGACACATGGTCCTTATCTCCCATGAAACTTTCAACACAGCTGAAAAAAGTAAGATACATAGGAAGCAAAGAAGAATTAATGCTAAGTTGACTCTCAGTAAAACAGAAAGAAAGGCATAAAGATACTTGTTAAACCTCACCATCTGCCAGGTGCCACAATAGGCAACTATGGCTGAGTCTTCCTATAGCCACCCACTATTCTTATCTCCTTCTTCTTTAGCAATAGAACACTAATTTTATTTTGTGTAGCAATGAAGCCAACTAAGAGAATAAACTTCACAGCTTCCTTTTAGTAAGTCGTGGTCACATGACTTAGTGCTGGCTGAAGACACTATAAACAGAAGGGCTGTGAGACACTTCCAAGGAGGCTGGTTAAAGCAAGCTAAGGTAGGGAGTAGGCCATTTTATCCTTCTTCCTTCTGCTATCTGGAATGCAGTGGTGATGGCTAGAGCTCCAGCAGCCACCTTGGAATACATGGTAATCCCAATTTTGATGTAGAAACCAAATGCTAGAAAATCATTAGAATGATAGAAAAGAGAGAGAGGAAGACTGGTTCCAGATGAACATGAAGCTACCTACCAGACCATCCCTGGACTACCTACTCCTGGACTTCTTTTACATAAGAGAAAAATATACTTCAACTTTGTTTAAGACACTATTATCCTAAGTTTTTGTTTTCATGCAACAACCCCTGATACTAAACATTACCTCATTTTACTTTCACAAAAAGGTGTGTATTTGTGTACCCACACATATGTATGCACATGATTATTTAAAATGCATAGATAAGAAAATTAGTTTAGAAAGATTAACTTGCTCAAGGCCAAAAAGTTAGTAAGTGGTTAAATCAAGATTTAAATCCACACTGACCCGACTCCAAAGAAACTCCACCACAGCATTCTTCTTCAAACCCCAGTGTGGAACAGACACAAAAGCACACGGGCGAGAATGTCTAGGAAAGAACGCAGGCGCGGGGCCTTGAAAGACGGGGTTTGGAATGAGAAGGTCAAAACAGCCCGGGAGTGAGGGTTTGGGGACACAACCAGAGAAGAGAAGGATAAAAGTCTCTAGGACAGGAGCCTATGGAGTGTACCTATTAAAAATTATATGCAAGAAACAGTGCGCTGAAGAGAACATTCTATGAAAGACTATTTACACTGACGCATAAAGGCAAATAAAGATCAAGTAAGAAAAGTATGCTATGAATGGAAACTTTGAAAGAGGGAAGCAATTTGAACTTGGTTTAAAAACTCTTTAGTAGGGAAGAAATATTTATAGATCTAGGTTTCAACAAAATGAGACTGTTAATGGCTGGCAGAAAGGATAAAAAGGAGGGCTCGGGGCTACCGTGGTGAGCGTATGGGGGAGGGGGTCAACTCCAATACATTCCAATGCAGCAAACTGCAATTGATGGCCAAGTGGATTAGAGAATAAAGGTATCTAAAAAGTTAGGATTCTTCTAAATTTCTAGCTTGGGAAAATGCTGACAACCCTGAGTGAAATAAAAAGAAGATAAAGATACTAAGCTTTGAACCTAACTGTAATCGGTAAATTTCCAAGGGGTCCACGCTGCAGGCAGTGAGAGAGAGAGAATCGGCCACGGTTCAAGACCACAGATACAGAGCTTTGAAGATATTACCAATTACACGAATAACTGCATCCTCTGAAGGAAGGAGAAGCATAGTAACACAATTTTTAAATAGCTGGCTTCTAGTCTTATAATGAGGACAACGATCATCCATTAAATCTGAATGGAAACAAAGGGTCAATATGGGATGTGGCAGACATTGCAAGGTGCCTACTACTCAGTATCTATTTTCCAACTCTCGCTCACCAGCTGAACCCTGATGCTGTTTTAGAATGGCAATGTGCTCCGCTTAAAAAATGACTTCCCAGCCCCTTTTGCACATTGTAACTCTGGAGTGGACTTCTGAAAAAAGCTTTTTCTTTCCTAAAAAAAGCCTCTCTCTCTTCTTTCTACTTGGAATGAGTACATGAGGCCTGGTGTAGAGCAGTCACTTACAAACCTAAGGAGGCAAGCCATATGGCAGAGCAGGAAGACAGGGAACCTACACCCCTAAGTCATGGTACTAACTTTGAACTTGCTAGCCTATGGACTTATTCTACATGAGGAAAATAAATCCCAATGGTTTTAAGCCACTGTTAGTCAAATTTCTTTTGCCACTCAATGCATTCTGAACTGATAAGCCGGCAAGTTATCAACTTGTAGCCACTAATGGTAAAAATAATTAAGACCAGATATTCTGGCTACCAACTCTATAAATACACATAGTGTAACTTCATAATCACAAAAACATGTGTGTATAAACCCACACCAATGAACTGGAACCTAACTCTTTCAGGACAATAAAAGGGAGTGATTGGATAGTGAAATGAATAACTATCCCCATCAATAAAGTATTTTTATTTAAAATATTTTATTTATTTATTTATTTTTAGAAGGGGAAAGGAGGGAGAGAAAACATCAGTGTGTGGTTCCTCTCACGTGCCCCCTACTGGGGACCTGGCCTGCAACCCAGGCATGTGTCCTGACTGGGAATTGAACTGGTGACCCTTTGGTTCGCAGGCCGGCGCTCAGTCCACTGAGCCACATCAGCCAGAGCTCAATAAAGTATTATTTTCAGTTACACATATGTCAAATAGATTCAAAGTAGTAAAAAAGAAATAATAATTCAAGACAAAACATTATAATTTAATAGGCCCATATTACAACAGCAAGAGAACAAGCAGAAACATGTTTGTTAGTTGGTTTGTTTTAATAAGAGAAATACTGCGAGACCTCAAAATTGAGGGTATAGTTAAGTAATTACTTGGAAGTCATTACTTCTTGAATTACTGGTTTAAAAAATGTACTTTTAGATTAGTTTTCTCTTACCTATAAGAAAAACACTGAAAAATGCTAATTTTTTAAATCTTAAATGAAGTATAACAATGAATCTAAGTCAATGTGATTATGTACAGATAAAAAGATCTTACTAAAGAAGAGACCATAAAATTTAATAAAAATGTCCGAAAAATTAAACTCGTCCTCTAATGAATGTCATAAAGCCTTCTAGCATTAGGGACTAAACTACTTGCCATATCACTGGTTCCCGTCCTATTTATACACCTCTGAAAAAAGGAATGCTTGTTCCCCATTAGTTGTTCCAGATAAAAATACAGGTCTTCTCCCTTATGAAAAACCCACAGTCAAGCCCTTAAATGCACATGTGCACATACTTTAAAAAATATTCTGTCCTCTGTGTAAAGGCAAAATAATGCTATTTAGTATTCTACCATTAAAACATATGCTTCCATTTTTTGTTTTCCGGTGATAACGACCCTGGTTCTACTCACTGTATCTATCCCTCTGTCTACTCTCCTTCATCCCCACATGACCAACCATACACATGTACAC